TGTTCTGGTGGATGAGGCTGGATTTTGTCTTTCTGGTGGGCAGGACCACGTCCAGTGGTGTGTTTTGGGGTGTCTGTGGCCTTATAATGATTTTAGGCAGCCTCTCTGCTAATGCGTGGGGTTATGTTCCTGTGTTGCTAGTTGTTTGGCATAGGGTGTCCAGCACAGTAGCTTGGTGGTTATTGAGTGGAGCTGGGTCTTGGTGTTGAGATGGAGATCTCTGGGAGAGCTTTTGCCATTTGATATTACATGGAGCCGGGAGGTCTCTGGTTGACCAGTGTCCTGAACTTGGTTCTCCCTCCTCAGAGGCACATGCCTGACACCCGGCCAGAGCACCAAGACCCTGTCAGTCCCAGGAAGAAAGAAGGAAGAAAAAAAGAATGAAAAAAAGAAAAAAAGAAAAGAAAGTAAAGCTATTAAAATAAAAAATAAATATTAAAAATAAAATAAATTTAAAAGTAGTCAAAAAAAGAGGAAAAAAGAAAAGAGAGAAAGAAAGAAGAGAGCAACCAAACCAAAAAACAATTCCACCAGTAATAACAAGCACTAAGATGTATACTAAAAAAAAAAAAGGACAGACAGAACCCTAGGACAAATGGTAAAAGTAAAGCTATACAGACAAAATCACACAAAGAAACATACAGACTCACAACAAGAGAAAAAGTAAATATATATATATATATATTTTAAAAAGGAGCAAGAGAACAACCAAATTAATAAATCTACCAATGATAATAAACTCTAAATACTAAGGTAAACATAAAACCAGAACAAATTAGATGCAGAAAGCAAACCCCAAGTCTACAGTTGCTCCCAAAGTCCACCGCCTCAATTTTGGGATGGTTCGTTGTCTATTCATGTATTCCACAGATGCAGGGTACATCAAGTTGATTGTGGAGCTTTAATCTGCTGTTTCTGAGGCTGCTGGGAGAGATTTCCCTTTCTCTTCTTTGTTCTCACAGCTCACAGGGGCTCAGCTTTGGATTTGGCCCCGCCTCTGCGTGTAGGTCGCTGGAGGGTGTCTGTTTTTTGCTCAGACAGGACGGGGTTAAAGGAGCCTCTGATTCGAGGGCTCTGGCTCACTCAGGCCGGAGGGGAGGGAGAGGCACGGAGTGCGTGCGGGGCGGGCCTGCGGCGGCAGAGGCCAGCGGGACGTTGCACCAGTCTGAGGCGCGCTGTGTGTTCTCCTGGGGAAGTTGTCCCTGGATCCCGGGACCCTGGCAGTGGCGGGCTGCACAGGCTCCCGGGAAGGGAGGCGTGGATAGTGACCTGTGCTCACACACAGGCTTATTGGTGGCTGCAGCAGCAGCCTTAGTGTCTCATGCCCATGTCTGGGGTCTGTGCTGATAGCTGCAGCTTGCGCCACACCCAGAAACAATGGTCTCTTGCCTCTTCGGCAGCGCCAGACTTTTTCCCGGACTCCCTCCCAGCTAGCTGTGGCGCACTAGCCCCTTCAGGCTGTGTTTACACAGCCAACCCCAGTCCTCTCCCTGGGATCTGACCTCTGAAGCCCGAGCCTCAGCTCCCAGCCCCCACCCGCCCCGGCGGGTGAGCAGACAGGCCTCTCGGGCTGGTGAGTGCCAGTCAGCCCTGATCCTCTGTGCGGGAATCTCTCCGCTTTGCCCTCCGCACCCGTTGCTGTGCTCTCCTCCATGGCTCCGAAGTCCCCCCGCCCCGCCCCGTCTCCACCCGCAAAGGGGCTTCCTAGCGTGTGGAAACCTTTCCTCCTTCACAGCTCCCTCCGAGGTGCAGGTCCCGTCCCTATTCTTTTGTCTCTGTGTTTTCTTTTTTCTTTTGCCCTACCCAGGTACTTGGAGAGTTTCTTGCCTTTTGGGAGGTCTGAGGTCTTCTGCCAGCATTCGGTAGGTGTTCTGTAGGAGTTGTTCCACATGTAGTTGTATTTCTGATGTATTTGTGGGGACGAAGGTGATCTCCACATCTCACTCCTCCACCATCTTGAAGGTCTCTCTCCCACTTAGATTCTTAAAACAGGTATAAATTTATGTAGCCCATAATTCTGGGCAGCTCTTTGATTATTCAAGAAATTCTTTAGTGATGTTTTCCCCTGAAAGAGTTCTTACCATTTTTTCCATAATAGGCCCCTTACATAACTTGCCAAAACCACACAAAATTTTGAATAGTTTGAGAAGTTTTATTGACCCCCCCCCCTAAAATCCACAAATCCTTGGACATCTACTGACTCTTACTGTAAAGAATATTTGGAGTGAAGGTATGACCATTAACATAATGAAGTTGTCACTTTAAAAGCAATTTATTCAACAAACATTTATTAAGTGTTCATATGCCAGAAAGTATGCTATGGAGATGCAGAAATGGATAAAGTTCCTTTTCCTGCCCTTAAGGAGCTTACATTCTAGTAAAGGAGACTTTATAAAACAAAAACAATACAGTACAATAAGTGACACAATAGAGGTAGGTTGTAATTACAGTGATGACACAAAAGAGGAAGTTAGATGATCCTCCTTGGATGGAACAAGGGCAGTTTCACAGAGGTGTTGCTTTATGCTGGGCCTGCAAGGATACACAGAAATTTTCCAGGTGGGGAAGGATGGCTAGGGCCATCCTAGAAAGAGAATAGCAGGTATCAAGGTGTGGAGGCCTAACTATGCTGCATCTGAAGAACTGTGTTTTTAGCAGAACATGGGGTCAGGGGAGCAGAAAGACCCATATCAGAGAAGCTTGTACACCATGGAAAGGGGTTTGGCTTCCTCCTAAAGCCTCATGAAATCTCTGAGGTGTGTTAAGCAGGGAGTAACGTTGTTTGAGTGCTTCTAGAAAGCCCACTTTGGTAGCATTGTGGGATGAAAGAAAGGAGAGTGGAAACAGGCTTGGGACAAGGAGAAAGGTTCACATTTAGGGAAGAGCAGTGAAAATGGAAAGACAGTGATATATCAGAAACATGGAGATAAACTCCTTAGAGATTAGACATCAGCTGGACAGGGGAGAAGTGGAGGAGAGAAGTGAGCCTAGAGAATTTAGATGATGATGGTTCTAAAATTAACCAAAGGAAGAAACACAGGCATAAGAGTGGGTTTGGGGGAGAATGACTTTTTAAGACACACACAGGTGTCTATGGGACAACCAATTGAAGATGTGTAGAAGGTAGATGGACTGAGAAGTCTGGGGTAAAGATAAGGATTTAGAGGTCATTTAATTGGAAGGACTCAAGAGTGAGAAGTGGTGGTGGTGAAGAGAGCAGGTATGAAAGCCTGAGGTATAACTTAAAGAATAAATGAAAGAGGCACCCAGGAGTGAGTGAAATATAAGGAACCCAGGGGAAAAAAGCTTTTTAAAGGAGGGGCTATCAACAGTGTCTAATGCAGAAGAAAAGGTCAAGTAAGAAATGGCTTGTGAACGAAACCATGGATTTAGAATTGGGATTTTAGACTTCAAAGTACAATATTGTTAAGAACTACTGAGCCAAAAGCCAAATTTCAGTTAAGGAGCAAGTGGAGGGTGACAAAGTGAAGACAGGAACATTCTTTCAAAAAGATTAGCTGTTTAAGAAAAAAAAAAAAGGGCAGGGACATAAGATGAGAGTTAGAGAGGTATACAGGCGAAATAACCATTTAAACCGATCTACCATATTTTCAGAGTACTACAAATGTCCTTATAGTTTTATATTTGGCGCTCACTTCATAGTCCTTTGAGTCTCCAAGAATAATGACTTAATAGTAGGTTAGTATCTTTCTTCTCCTGCCCTATTCAAATGAGGGGGAAAAGGAAAATAGGACATATATTGTGAAACTTAGTTCTGTGATTATTAATTTAAATATACTGACTACATTTTCATACATTCATTCAACGAATATTTACTGGACACCTACTATGTGTTTGACACTGTACCAGGCCTTACGGACATAGAGAAGAAAAAGTATACAGTAGTATAAAGTGGCATTTCTAAGCCATTATATAAATAAACCCTGCTTTATTAATAATGTTATATCTCAACATGATATACCTGCTAAGACATACAGAGAGGGCCCATGACTTTGAGGTATACAGTTTCTTTTTTCCCT